AGGCATCTGATGTCTTTTAGCCTCTGCTCACCACAGGTATGTGCATATATACAAATATGCACACATCACAATATGTGCACACAGAAGTCAACTATTACACAGCAATAAGTATTGGTAGCTACTGTCTTTCCCAAGGTGATTTGTACATATCACTCACACAGTTGCACAATACATATAAAAATAAATTTTTATAGATGGGCAGTAGTGGTACATGCCACCTTTGATCCCAGCAAGTTCCAAGACAACCAAGGCTATACAAAGAAACTCTGTCTTAAACACATAAATAAACTTATTTTCATAAGCAAATTCACTACCCAGCAATTCTTTTTTTTTTTTTTTTTTTTTTTTTTTTTTTGGTTTTTCGAGACAGGGTTTCTCTGTATTGTTTTGGAGGCTGTCGGTCCAGCCTAGTCTTGAACTCATAGAGATCCGCCTGCCTCTGCCTCCCGAGTGCTGGGATTAAAGGCGTGCGCCACCACCGTCCGGCACTACCCAGCAATTCTAACTCTAGAAACATCCTACAGCTACTGTGTACAAATATCAAATAACAGAAGCACAAAGTCATTATATCACTGTTGATAACAGCAAAAGAAGAGACTGGTTACATGAATTACAGTTGTCTTTCATGTGGAATAATAATATGAAGCAATTACAAAACTTAACTAAACTCTCCAATATTTATTGAAGAAAAAGAAAGTTTTCCAATATATTGCTAAGTGAATAAAGATACAGAACTGCTCATAAAGGCATCATTTGTTAAAGAGAAAGTTAATTGATCTAAAACAGAGCTACATCTCTGCTTATCAGGCATAAATATCCTTAGCTGGTTGCACAAGTAATGACAGTAGTCTCTTGCAGAAAGGAGAATGAGTAAGTATTAGTGGGCGACCAAGAGAAGTAGACTATTACACAGCAATAAATGTTAGTAGCTATTGTCTCTCCTATTGTGATTTGTATTTCACTGATGTTTCCATTACCCAACAAGATCTTGAACACTGTTGTGCTTGTGCTTAATTCTGAAACTATTTTTAAAAATTATATATATTACTATTTTGTCTGAAATTATATCTGTGCATCATAAATGTGTTCCTGGTGCCCTCCGAGGTGAGGAAAAGGTCATTGGATCCCGGGAACTGGAGTTAACAGACAGTTGTGAGCCACCATGTGGGTGCTGGTAACTGAACCTGGGTCCTCCCAAGAGCAGCAAGTGCTCTTTAATCAATGAAGTATCTCTCCAACTCCATGATGCTATTATTAATTAAAAAACAACACTTTTGCCAGGCGGTGGTAGCGCACGCCTTTAATCCCAGCACTTGGGAGGCAGAGGTAGGCGGATTGCTGTGAGTTCGAGGCTGGACCGGACCGACAGCCTCGAAAACAATACAGAGAAACCCTGTCTTGTAAAAACAAACAAACAAACAAAAACAACACTTTTCAGGGTTGGAGACATGGCCCAGTGGGTAAAGTGCTTGCTGCACAAGCATGGAGACCTGAGTTTGGGTCTCCAGAACCCACATAAAAACTAGGTGTGACAGAACATGTCTGCAATCCTGGGAAACAAAGACAGGAGGATCCTCAACGCTTGCTGACCAGCAGTCTAAGCTCCAGTCTGACTCAAAAAATAAGTGGAGAGCTGGCAACCTGGTTCAGTGGGTAACAGAGCTTGCTGTACAGTCTAATGACTTTGAGTTTGATCTCCAGGGCCCACGTGGTGAGAGGAGAGAATCAATTCCAATAAGATGCCCTCTGGCTTCCACACCTTCCCTGTGCAACACATGTCTACACACAAAATAAATTAAAATGTATCAAAAATATATGCTAAATATAGAAATATAGGCAGAGAGCATTCTTATATTAAGATGTTAGATGAGACAGATCTTCATTTTAAATACCTGTCAATAACCCAAAGAATACTAATACAGATTACTAAATTAGGACACAAAAACCCAGCGCCCACCTGTGGTTCTTCACTTATCAAAACCTACCACACCTGCTTTCTTGATCAATTTTTTTCTTTCTTGAAATATTTTAAAGCAAACTGCAGATAAGTAAATTTTATCTGTAAATTCATTTTAGTACCATCATTATATATGGTTTATTACAGTTATAATAGTTAAAAGTATTCTTTGTTACCTTATATTCAGTCCATAGCCTTATATCCCCAATTACCATAAACATTTTTATCAATTTTTTTGTTTGTTTCAAGACAAGCTCTCCTTTGTAGCCCCGACTGCCCTGAAACTCGATATGCAGACCAAACTGGCCTCAAACACACAGAGATCCTCCTGCCTCCGCTTCCACAGGGCTGGGATTAAAGGTATATGCCACCATGCCCAGTAAAAACACTTTTTGAATATGCATTTTAAAATATCTTTTAAACTCTATTTACTATTAGCGAGTCTGTGTGAATGTGGTGTGCCCATGTCATGGTATGCAGGTGGGGGTCAGTTCTCCCCATCCACCCTGGGCCCCAAGACTGAAACCAGGTAGCCAGACTTTTGTAGCAATGTTTTTACCCAATAAGCTGTCTTGCTGACTCTAAAATAACTTTTTACAAAAATACATTTTGTTCAAATCAGAATCCATACAAACTCCACAAACTTGAAGGCTATGTTTGAGGTTTTTTCCTGTAAAGCAGTCTCATGTCCCTCTCTCAGCTCAAACTTCATCTCCTTTTCTTTCTGTTCCTCTGACTTCTTATAGAAAGACAAAATAAGTATGTTCCAAGCATAGAGCTTAATACTAAAGAAATCATTCACTGCTTATTTGAAATTCAAATTGAATTTTGTTTGGTCTAAATCTGGCAAGCCTACGTTAGAAGCAGCATCTACATTTCTGGCAAATGCTCTGTTGGTGTTATTTAACAGGTTTCATGCACATCGAATCAGAACATACACAAAGTCTGTGAGGACTGCAGCCGGATCCCCTTGCTGAGAGATTCTTTCTTTAAGTTGAGAGAGTTGGTGATCAATACCTCCTTACTTATTTCATTAGGAGTCACAAACTGGTGACTTTCTGATCCTCTCCTTTAAGAAATTCTCCTTAGACTACCTTTCTGGGGACTAGAGAGATGGTTCAGCATTTCAGTGCACTTCTGCTCTTGTGGAGAATTTGATTCATCTCCTAGGTACAAACATGGTGGCTCACAACTGGCAATAACTCCAGCTCCAGGGGATCCAACACCCTGTTCTGCCCTCCAACAGCACCAAACATATAAGTGGTACACATACATACATCCAAGTACTTAAACATACTCATAAAAGACCTGGGAGGTGCCAGTGCATTTCTTTGTTTAATCCCAGCACTTGGGGAGTTCAAGGCCAGCACGGTCTACAAAGTGAGTTCCAGGACAGCCAAGGAACTCTGTTACACAGAGAAATACCCTCTATACTAGGAACTAAACCCTGGTCCTTTGCAAGAGTAGTAAGTGCGGTAACCACTGTGCCATCTCTTCAGCCCTCTTAATGGTAATTTTTTTTTGTATGTTTGTTTTGTTTTTAGAGACAGAGTTTCTCTGTATTGTTTTGGAGGCTGTCCTGGAACTTGCCCTGTAGACCAGGCTGGCCTCGAACTCACGGGAGATCTGCCTGCCTCCTGAGTGCTGGGATTAAAGGTGTGCACCACCAGCCCAGCTCAATTCTTTTTTTTAATGGTAAATTCTTAATTCCAGTGTGTAAGGAGGTGGATAAGAAGTAAAAAGACAATTACTTGTTATTCTGGCCTGAAGATCAGAGCTCAGAGCTAGTTAGCCATAGAGGCCAGGCAGTGGTAGCACACACTTTTAATTCTAGCACTTGGGAGGCAGATGGATGTCTGAGCTGAGGCCAGTCTGGTCTATGGAGAGAGATCCAGCACAGAGAAACCCTGTCTCACACACACACACACACACACACACACACACACACACACACACACACACACACACACACACAAGAAAGAAACAAACAGGATGAGAATTTTGAAAGCTAACCTAAGTTATAGCATGAATTCTAATTGTTCTTAATAATAAAAACTCTCACTTATCAGGGGATGAAAGTTGAAGGATCATAGAAGTAAAGGAGCTGCCATAAGAAAGACCTTTTACCTCTACTGCATCCTCAGACTATAACCTCAGACTGTAACCTCAGACAGCATCCTCAGACTATAACCTCAGACTGTAACCTCAGACTGACTCCTTCAGACTGCCTCCTCAGACTGTAACCTCAGACAGCATCCTCAGACTGCATCCTCAGACTGACTCCTTCAGACTGCCTCCTCAGACTGTAACCTCAGACTGCATCCTCAGACTGTAACCTCAGACAGCATCCTCAGACTGCATCCTCAGACAGCATCCTCAGACAGCATCCTCAGACTGACTCCTTCAGACTGCCTCCTCAGACTGTAACCTCAGACTGCATCCTCAGACAGCATCCTCAGACTGTAACCTCAGACTGCATCCTCAGACTGTAACCTCAGACTGCATCCTCAGACTGTAACCTCAGACTGACTCCTTCAGACTGACTCCTTCAGACTGCATCCTCAGACAACATCCTCAGACAGCATCCTCAGACTGTAACCTCAGACAGCATCCTCAGACTGTAACCTCAGACTGACTCCTTCAGACTGCATCCTCAGGCTGCATCCTCAGACTGCATCCTCAGACAGCATCCTCAGACTGCATCCTCATACTGACTCCATCTCCACAAATCTTCAGACTGCCTCTCTTGTCTCCTCCCACCTTATATTCCTCTCTCCACCCAACCATATCACTCCTGTCTTCACCTCCCTAGTCCATAATGAATCTGTGTGTTGACCAGAGTACCAAGTGACTTCCAAGATTGGAATTTAAGTCTTCTCATGTCTGACTCTTTCCATTACCACTGACAAGCCCAGTCACTTCCCCCTTAGCTGACCCCGATGCTCATCCCGGGAGTAGCTTACAGCTGTCACTACCAGAAAAATGAACTACAGATTAGTGAGCCCCAGAAAGAGGGAGGATGATCAGCAAGTTTTTTACATACTGGGTCTCCTGGTATTCACAGCACAAATATGTGGAGCTCTCCTTTGTGGCAAGCCTGGAGACTGTTAGTTCCCAGTTGTTGAGGTGACAATCAGAAATAGTCTTGGTATGCTAACAGCAAATTATCCTTAAAAAAAAAAAAATCAAGAAAGCAATTCCATTTACTGTAGCCTCAAAGGGGGGAAAAAAAAGAAAGAAAAAAGGGAGAGAGGGAAGAAAATACTTAGGGATAAATTTAACCAAAGAAATCAAAGACCTTGCTGGGCATGGTGTTGTACAACATTAACTCCAGCAATCTAGGGGCAGAGGCAGGAGGATCTCTGTGAGTTCTAGTTCCAGATCAGTGCCTGGTCTACATATCAAGGACAGCCAGGGCTACATAGAGACCTGTCTTTAAAAAAAATTATAGAAAGGAAGGAAGGAAAGTAGGAAGGAAGGAAGAAATAAGGAAAAAAGAAAGGAAGGAAAGACCTCCACAATGAAAACTATTAAAACATTGATGAAAGAAACTGAAGAGGCCGGGCAGTGGTGGCGCACGCCTTTGATTCCAGCACTCAGGAGGCAGAGGCAGGAGGATCTCTGTGAGTCTGAGACCAGCCTGGTCTACAAGAGCAAGTTCCAGGACAGCCTCAAAAGTCACAGAGAAACCCTGCCTCAAAACACCCCCCCCCAAAAAAGAAACTGGAGAGATCACTGAAAACTGGAAAAACTTTTTCATGGACCTTTTAGAAGAATCAACATTGTTAAAACAACCCAAAGCAAAGATTCAATACCAAAATAAAGAAATGAAACCCTATAAAAGACGCCAAGTCCAGATTAGCTTCAAACTATAAAACCTACCTGCTGTTAGAAATAAGTTTGGGGCTGCAAATAAAGGCTGCCACACCGATTGAAGTGTCTGGACAGAGCAAAACTTTACTCTGGATCAAGAGAGTGCACTGCTTGCAAAAGAAGAGCATGCGCACCAGGGCAGGAAGTGTGCCTGCTTTTTGTTTTGTCTTGTTTTGTTTTTTTCTGAGACAGGGTTTCTCTGTGTAGCCCCGACTGTCCTGGAAGTCGCCCTGTAGACCAGGCTGGTCTCACACTCACAGAGATCCACCTGTCTCTGCCTCCCGAGCGCTGGGACTAAAGGTGTGCACCACCTGGCATGCACCTGGTTTTGCTTCTAATTTAGGTAGTGGCTGTGTCTTTTCCTGGTTGGCCTGACCTCACAGTCTTTCTCCATAAGTTAGCTTTAAAAGAATTGGCATAAAGGAAATGAAGAAAAAGGGGATGGAAGACCCCTTAAATCATTCAAATTCCAAGACTATAACAGGGCCTTTGTGTAAACAAAGGCTTATTAACTAGGTGGTGGTGGGAGGTAATTTAAAACATTTGTATATAGTTTTAAAAGGTAGGGAAGATCAAAAGATTTGGATTTGTTATTAAAAAATTCTATGTTGTTTAACAGGAAGACTAATATTTAATGTTTCTTATGCTCCCAAGTGCTGAGTTTATAAATGTGCAGCCAGGTCTAGCCAGAGTCATTATTTTACAATCATATAATATGGAGACAAAACAGAGATTTCCTATATTGTGGAAATTTTACTTTTTCTTTCTTAGGACTTTGGAAACAAGTTGAAATGATTCTATTGTTTTTCATACCTGTTTTAAATGACAGCTGCTAATAAAAAAGAGGCATTTTCTGAGCATTTATACCAATAAGACTTATAGCAACCTAAAAATAAAAAAGCCCAAGTCTGTGAAACAACTATACACTGAATGACTCTGAAAATGTCAGCTGCTCGAAACCGTCCCAGGGGCAGATAGGATGGATCTTTGCTAAGTGTTTTTTCAGATTTATCTGCCTTTAAGTGGGGGCAATTAGTAAGCATGAGGAACCCTAGAGTGAATATCAAAATTCAAAGAATGGTATCAGACTCTGATGTTGCCTGCTTATATGTATCAACACACACATACACACACACACACACACACACACACGTTAAAAACAGACACAATATAAGCTAACATTTTTAATCACTTTCCATAAAAAATATTTCTATATCTCAGGTTAGGTATTAGATCCCTAAGGACACACAAGAAATTCCATATTCCAAGAAGCCAACTAAAGCTAAACAATAGAGTATATGCTTCCCTCTCGAGAGAACCAGTTACTTCGAACTCCAGGATTATCCTATCTATAGATAACTGAACTTTACAGAGGACCAAGGACAGGAGACAACTGTTTAAAGCAACAGCTGCAGAGGAATTACAACAGATGGTACTCAACGGAATTCCTAAAGCCGGGTGTGGATGTTCAGACACTGATCTGTGAGTTACTGTCATATTACTAAAGAAGAAAAAAAAAAAACTTTGAGATTATTTCTATTTGTAACTTTTTTAAAAAGTTCATTTACAGTTAAGTATAAATACTATGTGATTTGCTTATGACACCCCCACATCCTTAACAGGCTTAAGTTTTTAAGTTTAGTGGTAATCACCTAAAAATAAACATAACAAAATTGATGAACCCAGTCATCTTAAGTCAATGCAGGTATACTAGTCTCTAAACACAGAGGTTTAAACCAGGCGTTGGTGGCACACGCCTTTAATCCCAGCACTCGGGAGGCAGAGACAGGAGGATCTCTGTGAGTTCAAGGCCAGTTTGGTCTCTACAGAGTGAGTTCCAGGACAGGCTCCAAAACAATACAGAGAAACCCTGTCTCGAAAACAAAACAAAACAAAACAAAACAAAATATGGCTAACACAGAGGTTTAATTCTGAATGCACTCCCAGTGACAGGTAGTAACCAATGCTTGGTTATTCCGTGGCTTATGTTTAAATTTTTGGTCTAATGCAATCTCAGAAGTTGTCACTTAAGATTTTTGCCAGTTTGCAGCCATAACACCATGTCGACAAACTATGTCTCATGTGTTTGCCTGGAAAATAATGGCTACAGTCTTTATAAATTTCCAGGCTGGCAGAGAAGTGGCACATGCCTTTAGTCCCAGCACTCAGTAGGCAGAGCCAGCAGAATCTCTGAGTTCAAGGCCAGCCTGGTCTACAGAGTGAGTTCCAGGATAGCCAGAGTTATACAGAGAAACCCTGTCTTGAAAAGGCAATTTGTTTTTTAAAGTTAAAAAAATGTAAATAACTTCATTTAAATTATTAAATGTAATTGAGCTATTCAATTAATCTTTCTTTTTTTAACAAGTGAAGAAAGTGAGGAACAGTTTTATTTATTTAAAACAACTACACAAATTTTCTAAAAGAGTGAATGAATAGCTATATGTTTGCTACACTAATGTATACCACTAGTTTTTGTCTGTTTGGTTAGTTTTTTAAGACATGGTTATTCTGGAACTCTCTGTACCTGCCTCTGCCTCCGCCTCACATGTGCTGGGATTAAAGGCATGCTCCTGGCTAGAACCAATCCTATGTCAACATAGATGGCTAACTAAAAATAGACTACAATAGACAGAGCTTCACTCCTCATTGCTGGTAAAATCTCAGTTGGAAATTGTGGTCTATTTCAGATGCACTATTCCAGATACTAGTTAAATGCCAGTATTATTCAATGTAAGTTCACTTTACAGAAAATAGACAACTGCATGCTTTTTGTTGTTTTTCATTGTTTTGTTTTCTGAGATAATGTCTCATGTAGCCCAGGCTGACCTTAAATTCCTAAAACCCAGGATGGCCCTGACCTTTTCATCTGCTTCAAATGCTAAGCATTTGCGACCACGCCTGCTACTTTTATGTGGTACTGGGGACTGAACCCAGGTTTCATGCACGATAAACATTCTATCAATTGAGCTCTATCTTCAGCCCATCATAATCAAAATGTTTCCATGATTGAACATATGAATCACGTAACAATAACAGAACTTATTACTTCCTTATTAAAAACAAACAAAACAAAACAAAAAACTCCTTACTTCCTTACAAAAGCCAAGGGTAGTGGCATACCCTTTTAATTCCAGCAGTAGGGAAGCAGAGCAGGCAGATCTAAATTTGAGGTCAGTATGATCTAGAGAGTGAGTTCCAGAGCTGGGTAGTCAAAGCTACAATGAGAAACCTATCCCAAACCATCCATCCATCCATCCATCTATCCAATCGTCTGTTCCTCTGAACTCTTCTTTGAGGTTGGGGAAGTGGGTAATGGCGCCACTCAGACCTGAATTAGAAAGCATATTATGAGTTCTTCTTCCCCTTTAACCTTGAACCTACATCAACTACTGCTATTAATGTTACTCCACTGCTACAACTATTACTACTACTATTTCTGCTGTTATTACTACTACTAAAACTATTTCTTGTTTGGGATGTAGCACAGTAGTGAAGCATTCACCAAGCATGCTCAAGGCCCTGGGCGCCCCCACTAGCACTGCAGGACTAGGTCTTGGCCAAGCTTTGTTACTTACACTGACTTCAATTCTTTGATTAGGGTAATTCTCCTGCTTCAGCTTTCACGCAGCTCAGACTACACACTACAGTCTATGTATGGTTATACTTGGTTCCAATACTCATTTAACTAAATGTGTGAGTGCGTGCGTGTAGGCAGGGTCTCTCTACGTATCCCTGGTGGCCTGGAACTCATCATTTAGACCACACTGGTCTTGAACACACAGAGATCTGTCTCTGTCTCCAGAGCACTAAGATTAAAGGTGTGTACCACTGCCACATTACCAGACTCATTCAACAAAACTTTTTTTTTTTTTTTTTTTTGGTTTTTCAAGACAGGGTTTCTCTGTGAAACAGTCCTGGCTGTCCTGGAACTCACTCTGTAGGCCAGGCTGGCCTCGAACTCAGAGATTCTCCTGCCTTTGCTTCCTAAGCACTGGGATTAAAGGTGTGCAACATTTTTTAAAACTAATTTTAATGATCTATATCTTTGTATTTTATATGCACTGATGTTTTGCCTACATGTATATCTGTGTAAGGGTGTCAGATCCCCTGGATCTGGAGTTACTGACAGTCATGAGCTGCCATGTGGGTGCTGGGAATTGAACCTGGGCCCTCCAGAAGAGCAGCTAGTGCTCTTAACAGCTGGGTTATCTCTCCAGCCGGCCTGGCAACATTTTTAATCCTTTCATTAAAGTTAACTCTGAGCTATGAATTTCATGTAAAGAAGAATAATCAACAATAATGCTGTGAAGATATAGGCCACAAGTCAACAATGAAATAGTGCTGGAAACACAATAGGATTATGGATTCCTAATGAATGTATAGAGGCTGAGCTGTTAGTAGACACTGAAGACAGTGGTCATAAAAGTCTCCCCGTGGGGCTGGGCGGTGGTGGCACACGCCTTTAGTTCCAGCACTCGGGAGGAGCAACAGGCGGATCTCTGTGAGTCTGAGACCAGCCTGGTCTACAGAGCTAGTGCCAGGACAGGCTCTAAAAAAAGTCACATGTGGTAGTACATGTTTGTAAGCCCAGCATTCCTATGGAGAAATGGGACGCATGACTGGAATCCAGCCTGGAGAAACAAACTCAAATAATTGATTACATTTTTTCCAAAGCATAGATAAAATGCGACAATAGTTGTAGGTCAGGAAATAAAAAGAGAAAATCCTCTCGTATATAACAACAGAACGGTCTGCTTTGAGGAAATACATTTAGGTATTGGTAGACTACAATGTAGGAGAATTGCTGTAACCAAAAGATGGAAATCCCAATTTTTTTTCTGATTTTTTTTCTTCCACCTGCCCCCAAATCATCTTTGAATGGAACAAGGCATGGAAGAAAAACTAATCTATTTGTAGTGAGTTAAATTCGACTGAACAAATATTTCCTAAGAATCTGCTATGTGTATAGGATATTGTGAAAACGCTTATCTTAACTCAGAGTTCAAAATTATATGAGAAAAAGAAGAACGAGGTTTCCGGAAGTACACAAAACAATCCAAAGTGGAATAGAAGAGCTCTGAAGAGTGTGTTTCAAAGGCAAGAGGACTTTGGGCACTCAGAAAACCCCGAGAACGGTGGTTTTCGGGACAATTGCTGAGACGTGGGGGAGTCTGTGAACCGTAGAAGAACCAGAAGACGCCTTCTAGCTGTCCAGAAACGCCGCTCTGCGGACAGGCGCACCCTCTCCCGCGCAGGCGCGGGGCTTGAACCCGCTACCCTCTCTCACCTCGAGGGCTCCTGGGCTCCTCTTCCGCCACTTTTCTCGGAGGACACGAGAAATAAAGCAGTCCGGAGAAAGCCCGAAGGCCGGCTACCGGAGCGTCCTGTCACCCCGCCATCGGCGTCGGCCAGGCCACATCCCCATGGCAACGCGGCCACGCGCCAGTTCGAACGCGCGCGCTGACGCCCGCCGGGCCGCGGTCCTGCAACGCCGACCAATGGCCATTCGGGAAGCCTGCCGTCCTTTGCCGCCTTCTCCTCCAAAAAACCAATCAGAGATCGGAAGGAGCAGGGGGCGTAACCCCCAGGCCCAGCTTTCCACCAATGGGCCCACTTGAGGAAGATCTCGCGACATTCCCAGTCAGAGACCCGCGTCTCAGGGGCGGGTCGAAGAGCCTGATGCCCAATTGTGTGGCTCGCCCGAAGTCGAGCCGGGCTCTTCTGATTGGCTGGCGCGCTTTCTCCATTCAAGGACCGCCTCCCACCTCCGTGCTGCGGGTGAGTGCGGTGGGGCTTGGGGGCGGGGGACGTGGGTAGTGTGGTGTACTGCTGACTCGTTGCTGCGTGCCCAAAGCTGGCGGTGAGGCGAGTGTAGCCCAGACCCCACCCACTCGCTCAGTCTCCGTTTATCTCTCTGCGTCGGAGCAAAAAGGTTCCCTGGTCCCCGCCACCTTCTGAGTGGTGATGGTGTGGGTAGAAGAATCCCAGGGTTCGGGATTTAGCGGGCCAGTCAATATTGCTTTGTTGTTATCAATTAAGCCCTGCCTGCTTTCCAAGAGATCATATATACATGTATATTTACATTTTTCTTGGTGTGTGTGTGTGTGCGTGCGTGTGTGCGCGCTGCCTCAATTTATATGCACCAAGTGCGTGCGGGTCCCTCGGAGGCCAGAAGACATTGGATCCCAGGATCTGGAGTTAAGGGAGATTGTGAGCCACCTAGTGTAGGTTCTTGGGAACCGACCCAGTTCTTTGGAAGGGCAGCAAATGCTCTTATCCACTAAGCCGCCTCTCCAGCCCCCAAAGATTTTTTATTTCCTGTTCGCACTGTTCATTGGATAAATGCTGAGACAGTTAAAGCCACAAGACTCCCATTATAGAAAACAATCAAATTGTCAAACACAAACTGTTTAATATCTAATGGAGGTTAAGATAATGATGTTAGGAGTTTGACTTCCCTGTGTTTGAATAACTGAAAATTATTTCTGAACCACAGTTTTTTCCTTTTCTGAAAGATGGTAGTAATGCCTCCCCAGTTTGCAAAAAAGGCCAAGTGAAGAAATGTGGCCCAATGCCAACACATATGCAGCACCGTGTGTACTTTAATGGACTGCTCATTTTAGCTCAAAAATTGTCAGTTCTGAGGGACTGGAGAGATGGTTCAGCCCTTACTTGCTCTGTAGACCAGGTTGGCCTCGAAATCAGGAGTGCTGGGATTAAAGGCATTTGCCACCACTGCCTGGCTGGGGGGAAAAAAAGGTTTATATGGCTTACTCTTCCACAACACTGCTCATTATCAAAGGAAGTCAGGACAGGAACTCAAACAGTGCTGGAATCTGGAGACAGGAGCTGATGCAGAGGCCATAATGCTACTTACTGGCTTACTGCTTGTGGCTTGTTCAGCCTGCTTTCTTACAGAATCCATGACCACCAGTGCAGGCGATGACCCCACCCACAATGGGCAGAGACTTCCACATCGATAACTAATTAAGAAAATGCTGTACAGCTTGTCTACATCTTATGAAATCATTTTCTCTGCTGAGGCTCCCTCTCCAGTGAGTCTAGCTTGTGTGAAGTTGACATGAAACCAGACAACACATGGGTTGTCAGAGTATCTATGATGAAAACAATTATTTTTCTAATAAAAAGTATCCAGTTTAGGAAATTACAAATTGAGTGAGATATTACTGAATTTCAGACCCAGTTTCTATTTACCTTATAGACAGTCTATAGAACTTCAAATTCAACTGAATTCAAACGAAAATGAGTAGCTACTTCCTCTTCCCTCCAGTTACCCGAACCTCCCTGGTTCCCTTGAGCTTAGGAAATTTCTCCTTTAGACGATGAAATACGAGCTTTGTCAATGTTACTTATGATGTCTCATACTCACCCCTTCTTTCTCATAGGTTCTCTCCTAATCTAGTTTCCTGTCACTTACAAGCTGTTGAAATAAGCTTGTAACAAGTCTCTTTGCCTGCAGTTTTTTTTCCAATTTGTTCTCCATCTTGCTTACTGTCAAAATGCTTTTGTAAAATATCAGTCTGACCAAAATACAATTTACTTAAAACCAGTAGTCCTTATTGTCTACAGGATATAAATTAACCCAGGCATGGTAGCGTGCCTTTAATACCAGCGCTTCAGAGGCAGAGCCAGATGGATCACTGAGTTTGAAGCTAGCCTGATTTCCATAGAGTTCTGGGTCATCAAGGGCTATGTAGTGAGACACTATCTAAAATAAAAATAAAATTACAAAAACAGTATAAACTAAGTTGCTTACCAATGGAATGCCGTTTAGTGTGAGGTCTTTATGGCGGTGCTCTAGTGACAGCTTAGTCTAGACAGAAAGTGTATGAGGGATCTATCTGAGTTTGACCCTAACACCCAGGTGAAAGCACGTTTGTGCACACATGCACATCCTTATGGGGTGCCCTTTGACCCAAAGGTTCTCTTTCCGTGTCTTTCTGTCTTTTTACCCACAAGACAGGGTTTCTGTCTATAGCCCTGGCTGTTCTGGAACTCGAACTCACAGAGATCCACCTGCCTCTGCCTCCCAAGTGCTGGGATTAAAGGCGTGCGCCACCACTGCCCAGCTTGTCTTACTGTCTTACGTACATCCTTATGTTGTATGAAACACTGCATAACATCTCTTTGCCTTTTGCTTTCACTAGGCTGTGAACCTCTGGATGATTTACCCTTCAATCCTGCCATAGAGAACTTACTTAGCAGACAACAGATGACCTAAGACTAATGGTTCTAGTAGTAGAATCACTGAAGTCTGCTTTCCGTAACTAAACAGCAGATGGCGCTAAAGGGCCACATAACAGCATTTCCCTAAAAAATATTTTTGTCCCAACCTTGTCTGACTTTGCCCTGATCCTAGAAACCAGGATGTCATTGCAGGTAAAACCCTCCCGTTTTTTCCCTCAGCCAAATAGCAAAGATTACAAAATGACTTATCAACTTGATCTCCCAGAGAGGAAGCAGAGGCCCAGAGAAAGGTATAGTTGAGGGAGCATTTTCTTTGTTTCTAATTTTTTCGTATAATTTTTTCCTGTTTTTCTTTTTTTCTCCTTTTACTATTGTTACAAGAAAGCATTATCTGGACAGATGCCTCATTATTCCTGCAAAAACACAGAAGGAAGCTGGCGAGTTGGATTGAAGGCCGTTGTGCTTTGGGAAGAGAGAGAAAGCAGGTGGTCCCTGGGGCTGCTTGAGAGCAACAGGGTTGATCTTCCCCTTCCCAGGCCTGTGCAGACTTTCTCGTCACTCTGTTTAAACAAAACGTGGTTAGGTTCGTATTTCTTAGGAAACAGTCATGGACACCCTTGTCAAATAGGCTACACTCTCCCCACCTGAGTTGGCTTTGGTTACCTCCATCCTCCCCGCCTAAAACCTGCTTGGTGGAGGAGTTTCCAGCCAGACACCCTAAACAGTCTCCAGATGAGTACAGATTAAAGTCCAATGGGTTTTTAAACTGGTGATGAGTTTATTAACCACTTGAGCATGCTCTCAGAGCTGTGTGTATGCTTAACCCTATTTCATGATAAAAATTACAGGCTTTGGAGTTAGATTTCTCTGGCTTCAAATTCATATTACCAGCCACATATGTTTACTTCTTCCTTTTGGTTTTTTGTTTGTTTGTTTGTTTGTTTTTGTTTTTGAGACAGGACTTAAGTGGCCCAGAAAGACCTCACATTTCTATGTAGTGACAGCCGGCCTTGACATCCTAGTCCTGCTGCCTCTGCCTCCCAAGTACTGAGGTTACAGGTGCAGGGGACGGGTCACTGAGCCTGGCTTAATCTTTTTAAGATTTCAACTGGGAGGAAAGTACATTAGTATAGCCTTTGTGTTCATTTGAAAGGCAGAGAAGTGATCTCTGAGTGTGAGGCCAACCTGGTCTACTAAGTGAGTTCCAGGACAGCCAGGGCTACACAGAGAAACCCTGTCTGGAAAAAAAGAAAAAGAAAAAGTTTGCTTGCTTGTTTATTTGTTTGAGACAAGATCTTTAGCACAAGATTCTCCTGCTTCAGTCTCCTGAATGCTAGACTTTAGGCCTGTGCCACCATGGCTGGCATTAGAAGGTTGCCTTACAGCATTAGAAACTTTAGTTGTCAACAAACTTGGCATAGTGTAGGTGACACAGTATTGTTATGACAACATGTTGGCTTGAAGCACTATGCTTTAAGGGATTTAGACCATCAGAAATGTGAGGTAGATTAGGGAACCTGTTCTGTAAAGGCTGAAGGTATAGCTCATTTGGAGAGAGAGCACTTACCTCACTTGTTCACACAAGTCTGAGTTCACGCTCGGGGCCACAAAAATAAGCAAGCAAATAAAAATATGTGTCTATGAGAGCTTTTGCAGGTGACTGTTTGCATTCTTGATTAAGTTGATGGGTGTTGGACTGTGGCAGCATAGCAGTGATCTGTAAATCCCCCCCACACCCACACACACACACACACCCCACACACACACACTCACACACACACACACACACACACACACACACACACACAGGTCCTGAATGTCCTAGGCTGTGAGGAAATTCTGTCTGTGGAGAAAGCCAAGAACATTTTTCCTTAGCTTCTAGAACCTTCTGATGACACTGAGGGTTTGGGTGTTTTGTTTTTTGGTTTGTTCTTAACCACCTCAGGCACTCTGCCACTTTCCTGAAGTGTGAATTGCCTGCTGTCAGCCTGGAGTTCTCACCTCCGCAATCCTGGCTGCAGTCATATTTGCATACTGGATGCTGTGTTCTTTAACCCCCTGAGGTTTGAATCCACTTGGAGAATGTATGAGAGCTGAATCCTTTCAAGCCCTTGGATCTTTCAGCTCCCTCTTATCCAAAAAACCAGAAAACCAACAAAAGCTCCATTGACTTTTATGCAAATGGCACTCTTCAAGAAAACACTGGGCTGTTTCCCAGGGCCCCAGAACATACTTAAACATTTGTTTCAGTGGGAGGTGGGGAAAGAGTTCTGTTGAGTCAATGAACATCTGTTGAGCTGCTGAGTTGGGTCCCAAGGATCCCAAGGAAACAGACTGAGTCTGATTCTTTCCTGCCAGAAGTACCTGCCAGACTTACCTTACAAAGGATGCATACTTTAAATGGCTTTGTATTGGGTCACTTTAGCTATGCTGGAACTACATTTCCCAGAATTCTTTTTTTTAAAAAAAGTATTTTATGTGTATGAGTGTTTTGCCTGCATCAATGTCTGTGTACCACATGCATGCCTGGTGCCTGGGGAGGTGGGGAGCCTCCATGTGGATGCTGAGAATTGAGCCTGGGTTCTTTCCAAGAACAAGTGAGTGCCTTTAAGCACTGAGTCAATCCCCTTCTGAATGGTTCTAGCTCAGTGCTGACCACAGCAGACCTTTGGGGAAGATCTGGAAAGCTGGAGTGAACGTGCAGCCCGTGTGTTGTGAGGCAGAGCCGGCATGGATGCAGTGCATACGCTTTGATACCAGTCTGGTGACTCGCCTCGCTGCTGCAGCACAGCATCTAGGCCTGACAAAATGTCAGCTCATACTGAATCCTCCCCTCAGCTGTTGTGCATCCTGGGTCAGCTGGCTTTCACCTCTGGGGTCTCTGGTTTTACCTACTGGCCTTCTGTGTCACGAATCCCAGTTATCCTCACAGGTCTCGACGTGTTCTCTCATGTTTTAGTTTTGTCCTTGCTGTCCTCTACTTCAAGTCCACCCCGCCCCCAGACTGCTATTATTATTAGTGTTTAGGCTCAGGTGTGGAGGTGACTGACTTGCATGGATTTCTCTACTAACTTCCAAAACACACAAAATAGAATCCTGAGCTGGACACAGTTTGTGCTGCGGTAGGAGGATCTCAAAACTGAGACTAGCTTGAGCTACACGATGAGCTCAAGACCAAGCATAAACTAGATATTAATAGCCTGTCATGAAAAATCAAGGGCTAAGGAGGTGTCTTAGTGGTTAGAGGGTTAGAGTACCTGCTTCATATGTGCAAATCCCAGTATTTGCTTCTCCACAACACACATACATTCTTTATAAATCCCAAGTTTCTGTGAGTCAAAGTCCTCCCTGATGGAGTCTTATAGTAGAGATTTATAGGTTATTACAAGCAAGAAGACTTCATTAAAAAAGGTGACACTTGAGCTACATCAAAAGGTAAAAGTAGGGCTGGAGGGATGGCTTAGCAGTTAAGAACTCTGTTCTTCCAGAGGACCTGGGTTCATTCTCAGCACCCACATGATCTCACAACTGTCTGTAACTCCAGCTCCAGGGGACCTGACGCCCTCACACAGACACATATACAGGCAAAACATCAATGCACATAAAATAAAAGAGTAAGTTAAGAAAATTAGATCGGTGTGGTGGTACACACATTTAATCCCAGCACTCAGGAGCCAGAGGCTGACTGATCTCTTTGAGTTTGAGGCCAGCCTGGTCTACAGAGCTAGACAGCCAGGGCTAGCTATACAGAGAAACCCTGTCTTGAAAAAACAAAACAAAGTTAGAAGTAGGAGCCAGCAACATGGTTTAATAGGTAAAATGTTTGCTATAAAGCTGGACAATGAGTTCAATCACTGGAACATATAAAAATAGGAGAGAATTTCACACATGTGCCATGTCATGCCTACACTCCATAATAATAATAATAACTATAAATAAATAATAACAATTTTTCCTGACTTTTTGAGACAGCTTCTCTGTGTAGCTTTGTAGCCTGTCCTGGAACTCACTCTGTAGACCAGGCCGGTCTCGAACTCATCCGCCTGTCTCTGCCTCACAAGTGCTGGGATTAAAGGTGTGCACCACCAACAGAGGCAGGCGGATATCTGTGAGTTCGAGGCCAGCCTGGTCTACAGAGCGAGTTCTAGGACAGGCTCCAAAACAATACAGAGAAACCATGTCTCAAAATAAGAAAAAGAAAAAAAAGGTGTGCACCACCACTGCCCAGTAATAAATAATAATTTTTAAAGGGATCAGTAGGAATAGTTGATTATATGAAGTTGGGGATAGGCTTCTAATACACAACTGACAACGGGGAAGCTCTCCTTTTCTAGAAGTTTGCCTTCTCTGTGAGGCCAGCATACATAGAATGCGCATCTGACTTCAGCTGTCTGGCCAGATTGTAGGCCAGACTGTTTCTTCAGCACAGCCTTTTTACACACTGCTAGAACGCATCTTTTCTACCATCCTAAGACTTTTTCCCTACTCCCATTCCTCTCCAAAGGAAAACACTAGCCTTTCCTCCCTTTATGGGTCTACGTGGCCACCCAAGGCCTATCATTCTTGTCCTTCTGAAGCCATCTTTCTTTTCACGTGCTCTATTTGTGGTGGTAGTGGAAAGGAGGAGTATACTAGGGCTTCCTGTGTTAGGAAGGGCATGATCCTTTCTAGTCTTGGGTTTCTAAGCTTACCTCGGACTCCATTCATTATATGGAGCTTTTCAAGAGAGGCAAGAGGAAGGTACCCTATATTTATTACTTTGTAACCATCTTTGTAGGAAGGACATAGGACCAGTTACCTGTTTCTACATGAACTCTAAGCCAGTGAGTAAAATACTTGTTCAGTATTCTACAAAGACAAGGTGTTTCCTTGCAGCTCCAGAATGGGGAATGTTCTCAGCATAAATAAGGAGTCACGGAAAATAGAACATGGTGTTTTGTAAAAGCCTATGTACTACTACTTTACATATGAATTTTTTAACTCAAAAAAGATCTCATTATACATATTCTGTACCATACTTTTTTCAATTAATATATCCAAAAATATTTTCTTACTGCCAGAACATTTGGTTCTACCCCATTCTTAATAGTGTGTGTGTGTGTGTGTGTGTGTGTGTGTGTGTGTGTGTGTGTGTGTATGCCTCAGAGGTAGATATTTATACTGAAATGTAACTAACCATTCCCATACCAGTGGATATTTTTTCTGCTTTAAAAAAGTGATATACCCGGGTGGTAGTGAATGCCTATAATCCCAGCACTTGGGAGGCAGAGACAAGCGGATCTCTGTGAGTTCAAGGCAAGCCTGGTCTACAAATCAAGTTCAGGACAGCCAGAGCTGTTACACAGAGAAACCCTGTCTTGAACACCCCTCCCCAAGTATATTACCACACCCAGCTACACAGACTTAAAACACTGAGTCCATTTCTAATCATTAAAACCTTCCCACCCACCAGTTTGGAATGCTTTGGGTGTCTATTTGTAACTTGGTGATAAAGCACTTGCCAAACATGCATGAGACCTTCCTTTTGATTCCAACCACAACAGTATCAACAAAACCAAAAGAAGGAGAAGCAAAAAAGGAGAGGTGAGGCCGGGCGTTGGTGGCACACACATTTAATCCCAGCCCTTGGGAGGCAGAGGCAGGCGGATCTCTGTGAGTTTGTGGCCAGCCTGGTCTACAGAGTGAGTTCCAGGACAGCCTCCAAAGCCACAGAGAAACCCTGTCTCGAAAAGGGAAAAAAGGAGAGGTGAGGAAAAGGTGTTTGGTTTGTCCATGAGGGAAGGTGCTCTTCTCTAAAATAGCAGTCCTGAGAATTGCTCTGGAAGAGGCGGTGGGCCTGATTTTATGCCTTGGACAGCCGAGAGTGGCTCGTTTTGTTGTTTGTTTATTCTTTTGTTTGAGACAAAGTTTGCCGTGTAGCCCAGGCTGGCCTCAGATTTGTGGTGCTCCTCCTGCTTCAGCCTCCATAGTGCCAGGATTACTGGTGTGCCATCGTGCTTGGCAGCCCATCTCTTGATACCAGCAAGGGAAATAGCATGTAGCTGTCTCTCGGGTCTGCTGTCCTGCTTTAGGACTTTGTCCAGGGCGGCACCCTGCACCTGAACCACCTTTCCCACTTACCTTTTGACTCTCTCCTTTCTCTTCTTGCAGTAAGCCCACCATAATCTCTCAAAGGGGGTCAGATGGTGGCCTAGCACATGTTTTTCCTGTGTGACCTGGTTAGCTCTGTGTGTGTGTGTGTGTGTGTGTGTGTGTGGTGTGTACGCACGCTGCAGGGCACATGAACAGAGAACAACTTTTCTGGTATCAATTCTTTATTTGGGTTGTTAGGCAGGCACTTCACCCCCCTGACCACCCCTTGAGCCGCCTCAGTGCCCCCCTCTGAATTTTTTTTAGTATCTTTTTTTAAAAAGATTTATATATTTTTGAGCCGGGCGTTGGTGGCGCACGCCTTTAATCCCAGCACTCAGAAGGCAGAGGCAGGCGGATCTCTGTGAGTTCGAGGCCAGCCTGGTCTGCAGAGTAAGTTTCAGGCCAGACTCCAAAGCAATACAGAGAAACCCTATCTCGAAAAACCCAAAAAAAAAAAATTTATATATTTTTAGTCAGGAGTTGTTGACGCACGCCTTTAGTTCCAGCACTCTGGGAGGCAGAGGCAGGATCTCTGAGTTTGAGGCCATCCTGGTCTACAGAGCAAGTTCCAGGACAATGTATACAGTGTTTTGTCTGCATGTATACCTGCAGGCCAGAAGAGGGTATCAGATCTCATTACAGATGGCTGTGAGCCACCATGTTGTTGCTGGGAATTGAACTCAGGATCTCTGGAAGAGCAGCCAGTGCTCTTAACCTCTGAGCCATCTCTCCAGCCCCCTCTTCTAGATGTTATTCCACAGAAATCTACTGATATTTTAGTGTGTACCAGGTACTGTATAAAGTACTATAGTATTAAATCACAGTTAGGCACACACTTCAAGAACTTTGGAGACAGAGGCATGTGGATCTCTGTGTGAATAAGTTCCTTACATGACAAACTATAAACTTTTGGTTATGATGTTTACCACAGCAATATAAACCCTAACTCATACAAAGGAGCATCCAGGGTTTGGGACAAAGCTTTGTGTGTAAATACTACAGGACCCTGGTAATTATTCTAGTCAAGGGGCTTCTACCTTGAGCTCCAGGTCTCCCTGGGAAACTCAGGGCTCACATGTATGTGTTATGAGACTACAGGAACTTAGCAACTAACTCACTGAAACAGAAAAGATGCTAGGAATGTTAAGTGCTATAGTCAAGCTCACAATCCCATGTCCCTCAGCCTGTATCCCGAGCCCTTAAAGCAGAGACTTCAATCATGTGTTTTTTAATTATGTAGACAGTGTTCTCCAGCTATGCCCCATATGTGGATTTTTCCTTTTGTGTAGAGCTTCCCAGTGTCTCACATCATTTTTAACTTCATAGACACATCATGGCCCTGAGAGCGTGTGGCTTGATCATCTTCCGAAGACACCTTATTCCCAAGGTGGACAACAGTACAATTGAATTTCTGCTGCTGCAGGCATCAAATGGCATTCATCACTGGACTCCTCCCAAAGGTTCGGGAATAGTGGGATTAGCTTTTGGTGAAATGCCAAGCTTGACTCAGGAATCCACCCTACCAGGACCCTACAAGCCTTTTTCCCAGTAACTGTACAGCAGGAGGAGGAGGGAGAGACAGGAGCACTTAATCTAGCCCAGACCTAGAAATAGGGTTCTGCGACTGACCCAAGGCAGACATTGCACTTGGTGTTTCTGTGTCATTCACCTGGGCTCTCGCCCATGAACGGCTAGATAGGAGAAGCGCTCCTGGCTTGGGAATGGAGAATGTTGAAATTGAGTAAAATGACTGGGCTACTTGCCTTCCTTCCTGAGTTTTTCATCTATCAAAATAGAGCTTGACTTAAAAATCCCATGTTTTCTTCCTGCCCTTTTCCTGATTTAATGTGATAAATTCCTTTGCTTCTTCGTTTAGTGTTCTTTTGTGAATCACATATCCAGGGAGTGTGACTTCTGGGGCTGTTAGAGGCACAGAGAAGATGGGTTTCCTAGTCATAGGTAATCTACATACTCTGGTGGGAGCAGCTGGGTAAGAATGGGAGGGTCCTTCTCAGACCAGGAGGCTATGCAGATCATAAGTACCTTGGGGCTGTAGCCTAGCAGCTACCTTACCCTGGCTTCCTCCTCACTTAGAACCCAGGGTAAAGCCAGTCAGGTCTTCAAAAGGCAAAACAGGGAAGACCAGTGACCTGGAGGCTTAAAACATGGCCAAGATGTGTTTGTAAGCAGGTAGCATTCTGGGTGCCATCTTGAGGGCACAGAAGAGTCTCTCAGAAGTCCCTGAAGGGGAAGGCAGGCCACATTGGAAGTGAGCTGAGTGGCTGTCCCTTGAGGAGCCCATACCCACTTGAGTATGTATTTTCATGACTCTTCTTTGAAGCCCACCCATGCTGTTGGGTGTGTCTTACTTTTTTCTAACTGCCTCTTTTTCTATTAATCCTCATGTTGCCAGGCAGTGTTGGTGCATGCTTTTAGTCCTGATACTCCAGGAGGCAGAAGCAAGCAGATCTCTGAATTGGAGGTCAGTCTGGTCTACAGAGCAAGTTCCAGGACAGCCAAGGCTCCACAGAGAAACCTGTCTTGAAAAGCCAAAGAAAGAAAAACAAATCCTCATGCTACACTTAAATTAAAATGCCATTATTTAATCCAACTCTGCTTCAGATGGGGATGGCATGCTGAAGCCTTCCTTGATTGAGCAAGAACAGATTGGCTCTGGCAGTGGCTGGGATGAGCCCCAGAGTCGACAGCCCCTACAGATTAAAAACAGTGGGATGAGGAGACACGGACAGGTATCTGAAATTGGAAGAAAGCAAGACCTGGCGACAGGAAGGGAATTTTTCACATTTGAGTTGCACAGGAAAGAAGAAGGTAGATGAGAGGAGTCACAAGTGCTGTAAATAGTATTCACACTTCTCTCCTGATAACCGGCATCTCACTTAGAGATGCCAGAGGACCTCTCCTAATCACTTCCGGTTTTGGTCTGGGATGAAATTACCCTGCTAGCATTGGTAGGCAGTAAACTGAATAGACGTTACCAGGAAGGGTGTACTAAGATTGGCAGACAGCTAGGAGGAGGGGGCACATCCTGAATAGTGTTTCCTGTTACCACCAGTGTCCCACCTACTTTTCCTCAACGCACTGTCAATTGGTTTGCGCACACTATAGGAAGTGTTGTGCAGAAAAACTTTCTCCAGAGAAGGAACTACGTCCTAAATTCCTATTTTCCATTCCATGGCCACTAGGCAGCTGTGCAGAGCCCTGAGCCCTGGAAAGTATAACTTCTAGTGTATAGCTCCACCTCCAGGCCAAGAAGGGAACAGCTATCAGTCCCTACTCCCCATGAGCACCCGAACCAGGAGGGCCCCTCAGCAACTTGGCAGAGCCAGGAGGAGATACAGGTTACCAGAGCCCTCTCACTGCTTCTGGGCCCTTCTGGGACACTAAGAATCTGTGGGAAAGGCCTATGGGTAAAGCTCAGGGCCACCACAGTCTGCAGAGCTTCAAGTGTTGCTGCAACAGTTTTTTGGCAGCTGTCGGCTTGGATTTGGGTCTTGCCAACAAATTTTCTTAGAACTGGCTCTTGGCTTGTCCTTAGTCTTAAGTTCCCATCAGGACTTTCCCTGTGAGTCTGAAATCTGGCCTTGCTCAGTTAGGAAGATGAAAACAATTTGAAAAAGCCTTGATGGCTACTTGGAAACAGCTGCTGGAGCAGCAGTGCAGCGTTTGCGCCTGTTAACTGTAGGGTGCTGAGTCCTCACTGGGTTTCAGCCCCCCCTCTGCCAAGAGACTCTGCCTCTCAGAAAAATCACTTTAGTCTCCAGGAGAAAAGTGGTCACTGTGCATATCAGAGGGCGAAAATTCAAAAGATCAGGAGAGTAGAGATCCGAGGAAAGCCATCTCAACACCAGAAGGCAGACCGTGTTCTGCAGTGGTGGTGTAGCTTGGTGAGAGACACCTCCCTCCTGTGCACACCGCCCCAGTTTAACACTTAACAGAGCAGGAATGAAGCAGCATCTGACTCTGCCTTGCCAGGCACATTTGTGTCACTCTCTACAAAGATGGAGCAGGAAGCAGGGAGTTCTCAGACCCTGAGAACCAGGCACTGTCTGCCCTGTAGCCCTTCCTAGGCATGTTAGGATACTGACCAGCTGTAGACTTCCTTTAGCCCAGGCATTCCCAGGAAAGTCACTGAAGACCCTGATGTTATATCATGTGTCCTGGAAAATCCAGCTTCAGTTCCTATTGAAGATTTCTTCTCTATTTTCTCCTAACCAGGCCATGTGGACCCTGGAGAGACTGACTTGGAAACAGCCCTTCGAGAGACTCAGGAGGAAACAGGCATAGAAGCAAGCCAACTGACCATCATCGAGGGCTTCAGAAAGGAGCTCAACTATGTGGCCTGGGAGAAGCCTAAAACAGTCATTTACTGGCTGGCAGAGGTGAAAGACTACAATGTAGAGATCTGCCTCTCCCAGGAGCATCAAGCCTACCGCTGGCTAGGGCTGGAAGACGCCTGCCAGTTGGCTCAGTTCAATGAGATGAAGGCAACGCTCCAAGAAGGACACCAGTTCCTCTGCTCCACACCGGTGTGAGCTGACCAGAGCACATGCTGCCATTGCATCCTTGAGGGTCTTCTGAGATGAACCCACCTCCCATCCAGGGGAGGATGTGCTGTCTTTGGTTGCTACAGCCCAGAGCAGATAGGTTGGTGAAATTAAAATTAGTTCAACACTCTCAGGTGAGAGCGAAGAAGCCCTGGATTCAATCCCTAGCATAGAAAATAATTACTTTTAAAATAAGAGTAAGCAAGAATTTTAGCTAAGTTAAAAAGCAAAGGAGGGGTAAAATTTTTAAAATGCCAGCCCCAGTAACTGTATCCTTGTATTTGATAAATAAACTTCAAACAGCTTACATGCCTTTTAACCTGTGTGCTTACTTCTTGGACTCATGCCATGGGTTGGGAAAAAGAAAACTGAAGTTCCTGGGCATTGGTGGCACTTGCCTTTAATCCCAGCACTTGGGAGGCAGAAGCAGGCAAATCTCTGAGTTCAAGGCCAGCCTGGTCTACAGAGTGAGCTCCAGGACAGCTAGGGCTACAGACAGAAAATCCTTGTCTTGAGAAATAAACAAAACAGGAAGCAAGGAAGGAAGGAAGGAAAGCCTGAAGTGAATTAGAGCTCTGGATTTAACCAGATGGAATCTTTAGACCACTTGGTCATTCTGACTGTGTAGTCCAAACACTATACCCCAAAGCCAAGGGCTAGGGGATGAGACTAGAAGAAATCCAGCACATGTGGGGTTACCCTTCTGCTCCCGAAACTCCAAGCACATCCTCACCCACAGACAGACCCATGGAGTTGGGATTTCTAAGCCAGTAGAACTGGAGTGCAGAAATTGAATGTTTTGTTCTGATATCTCTCCAGCACCCACATATTTGTAGTTACATAGGAAATATTTCAGACCCAAAACTTTGGGCTGCCTGGGCCAAAACAGAGGTGGGAAGCAAGCATCCCTGGACCCTCAGGTTAGTAGCACATGTATCCTCGCCTTTTAACCTGGCCTGTCTCCCAGAGTAATGAGCCTTGTCATCATGATTGAGGTAGAAAATGAGGCAAGCCCAAGTTCACGGGCGTTACCCAGGTCGGCACACGTGTGCTCCTCATGCAAGTTCACATGCTTTACATGCAAGTTCACAGGCTTTACATGCAAGTTCACAGGCTTTACCCAGGTCGCCACACGTGTGCTCCTCATGCAAAGCTACCCTCCCCATGTGCAGCAGACGTACCGCCGTTTCTTCCTAACCTCTGCCTATTGGCTTTCTTCACAATGCCTCTGTAAGACCCCAAGGCGCAAGAGTTGGGTCTCAGCCTTCTTTTGCCTTGCTACTAGGGCTCTAGGAATGCTGAGGCAGGTGTTAGATCTTAGAGCCCTTCCAGAAGCCGTTAGCAGCTGGGTTCATGTGGATTTTATTAGAGGGCTGTTGCCCAATGAAGTGCAGAAGATTGGAGGGGAAGGGGGCATTGGCAAAGGTCAACCTGGATTACCAGAGTCGAGAACAGCCACCCTGAGGAAGGAGAGCAGAGTCACCCCGTCTTAAGCAGGCTTCCAGATGTTTCCAGTCACTGGCTCTCTGTGCAGACAGGGCAGGAACACTAGTGAACAGATCTTGGAGCACAGCCAAGGACCTAAATGGTTTTGTTCCTCACCCTTTTGCACAGCACTCTCCAAAGGAGGCCTGCTGCAGGAAGTTTTTGGAGCTTAATGTTCTCTTCCAAGCCAGCAGGGACCACATCCCACTGATTTAATAAATGCCTGCTGGGCAGTGGTGCCAAACCACAGACAGGCTGCCTCCTAACAAGGCCTGGCTGGTCAGCCCTGTGCTCTTAGAGTGGGAGACTGGAATCTGAACACTCTTAAACCTCATGCATCATAGTGGAAGGGACTGAAAATGACCTGATTTTGCTGTTTATTTTTATTGCAGGGGAAATGTATGATGCCTGGCAAGGCATCATATACTTGTAACCCCAGCACTTTAGAGGCTGAGGCAGGAAGATTGCTGAGAGTTTAAGGGCAGCTTGAGCTACAAGAAACCAAAGCGGGGGCTATAGAGATGGCCTAGTGGTTAAGAGCACTACTTGCTTTTCCAGAGGACACGGGTTTGATTCCCAGCACCCACACCCACGTAGTGACTCACAGCTGTCTGTAACTCCAGTCCCAAAGAATCCGATGTCCCCTTCTGGTCGTGGCATGCATATGGTACACACACACCTGTGAAAGCAATATGCCCACACACATGAAATATTTTTTTAAATCTTAAACAAAAAGAAACAGCTGGGTGTTGGTGGTGGCACACACCTTTAATCCCAGCACTAGGGAGGCAGAGTCAGGTGGATCTCTGTGAGTTCGAGGCCAGCCTGGTCTACGGAGTGAGTGCCAGAACAGGCTCCAAAGCTACACAGGGAAACCCTGTCTTGAAAAACCAAAAAACAAACAAATAAAAAACAAGTAAATGGCCGGGCGTTGGTGGCGCACGCCTTTAATCCCAGCACTTGGGAGGCAGAGGCAGGCGGATCTCTGTGAGTTGGAGGCCAGCCTGGTCTACAAGAGCTAGTTCCAGGACAGCCTCCAAAGCCACAGAGAAACCCTGTCTCGAAAAACCAAAAAAAAAAAAAAAAAAAAACAAGTAAATGAACCCTGGTCCTGGAAGTTGTCTAATGTGGGAAGCTTTGAAAATAAGATGCCACCCAGAAGATCCTTTAAAATATCTTTTTTTTTTTTTTTTGGTTTGGAGGCTGTCCTGGAACTCACTTTGTAGACCAGGCTGGCCTCGAACTCACAGAGATCCGCCTGCCTCTGCCTCCCGAGTGATGGGATTAAAGGCGTGTGCCACCAATGCCCGGCCCTTTAAAATATCTTATATAGAGGCCAGTGGGTGAAAGTGCTTGCTTCGCAAGCCTGACAACCTGGGTTTGATCCCCAGATCCCGTGGGGAAGAAAAGAACCAGTTTCTTAAACTTGCCCTTGACCTCTTCACACATGCCGTGGTATGCACATGCCCACACTCATATTTTATATCATCGTCATCAATTAGAATATCTTAGTTTTGGAATCATTCCTCTGATCCTCCTGTTCCATTAAAATGTAGATACAGAGGTTTGGAGAGATGACGCAGTGGTTAATAAATAGTACTGTTGCTCCTGCAAAGGACCTGGTTCCATTCTAAGCACCGACGTGGTGGCTCATAACCATCTGCAATTCCAGTTCCAAATGATCTGATGCCCTCTTGTCACTTCCATGGGCACCAGGCACACGTGTGGTATGCACATGGTACACACACATACATGCAGGCAAGACACTCATATATATATATATAAAATAAACTACAAACCAGTCATGGCAATTTGCATTTCTAACCTCACCAGTGGCTTCTCCCAGTCTTTTACTGTGCCAAGTCTCAGCTGCTCTTCATGACTCCTTCATACACGTAAACCTGTGTGCTGACCCCGAGGGAACAAGTCTCAGAAGATTTTGCCTCAATATTGTTGGTCTTTTCTTAAACACAGCTAGCTGGTGCTTCAGCATGAACTGACCAGAACCACAGATTCTTAATTCAAAGTACCTGATGGCCTCCATAGAGTCTTCTTTTAGGAACTTTCAAGCTTCCCTCTGAAACTTCACGGGCCAGACCTCCACTGTCCACCCTGCTTTCAGTGTTATCTTCTAAGTCCCATATATCTTAGAGTTACTATTGCTGTGATGAAACACCATGACCAACAGCAAGTTGGGGAGGAAAGGGTTTATTTGGCTTACACTTCCACATTGTAGTTCATCACTGAAGGACGTTGGGACAGGAACTCAGAACAGGAGCCTAAAGGCAGAAACTAACATAGAAGCCACGGAAGAGTATTGGTTCTGTCTTGTTCATCAAGGCCAGCTCAGCCTGTATTCTTGTAGAACTCCAGACCACCAGCCACAGGATGACACCACCCACAATGGACTGGGCCCCTCTCTATTAATCATTAATTAAGAAAATGCTCTACAGCCAGATCTTATACAGACATTTTTCTTAATTGAAGTTCCCTCCACTCAGATAACTCTATCTTGTGCCAAGTTGGCATAAAATTATCCAGCACATCATAATAGCTAATTAACCTTTGAATACACAATGACTCTTCCAACCCAAAGTTCCAAATTCTTCCATAATTGTTCCAAAAACAACATGGTCAGGTCTGTCATAGCAATAGTGCAGGAGCCCAATACCAATTTGAGTCTTAGGGTTTCTATTGCTGTGATAAAACACCATGACCAAAAGAAACTGGGAAGGAAAGGGTTTATTTCAGCTTACAGCTCTCAGGCCACACTCCACCACTGAGGGAAGTCAGGGTAGGAACCTGGAGGCAAGAACCTGGAGGTAGGGAATTGAAGTCAAAGCCTTGGAGGAGTGCTGTTTGCTAGCTTGCCCATTCATATCTTGCTCAGCTTGTTTGTTTATACAAGTCAGGGCCCCCGTCCAGGATGTAGCCCCACCCACTGAGGGCTAGACCCACCAACATCAATCATTAATCAAGAAAATGCTCTACAAGCCAGATGTGGTGGCGTGCACCTTTTATCCCAACACTTGGTAAGCAGAGGCAAGCAGACCTCTGTGAGTTCAAGGCCAACCTGTTCTATATAGTTTTATGTTGGGTCCGTCTGTATTATCCCCACGTTGAATGGCGATTAGCCTCAGACTGATGTCTTCAGGGCTGTGATCAAAACCAGTCAAACAACACCAGGTCCAACCCTGAGTGGGGGAGTGTGGATGAGGGAAAGCTAGCTACCCAACGATGTTAAAGAAAAGACGGAGACATCTGATCATAACAGGAAGGCAGTCAGTTAACACTGAAGGTGAAGGTGCCTCGTTTATTGCCGCATCATCTTAAGTAACCATCCAAAGATGGGGCAATGGCAGAAGACATCTGTTAGCATGTATAAAGGGCAGATAGCAACTGTTTCCCTACATCCTAAAGACACTCCTTTGCAGCACTACTCAAGTCTTCAGGCACCTTCACCCCAGCAAGTCTCACTAGCCTTCAGGGTGGGTATAGACTCTCCCTGGCCCAAGTCTATTGCTATTTAGATAGGATCTCCACTGAGGCCAGGACATTCATCTTAAAGACAATAGAAACCGAGGCTCTCCTGGACTCATGGCAGGGTGGAATAGATTTCCTACAGACATTGACTTCAGGGTGGTGATGCAAGTGTGTTACATAGATTTTCAGCATGTTTGAATTATTTTTTTCTTGAGAAGTCTTGGGAAATCACAGTTACAGATCTAGTTCATCAGAAGAGTGAGGCAGGATCACTGTAGCCCAGAACTTTAGAGATCTGTCTGGACAGTGTTGCAGACTCTGATATTCAAGGGGAATAAATATGAATATGAT